GAACAGAAGAGTTGCTAATTTTGCTGGATAACACTGACATTTGCTATTAAAGATGGGGATATGAATACTGGAACAATGAGTTTGTCTCGTGCTAAAAAAAAAGTCACTAAAAAAGGTAATACGAGTGCAATATTGACATGGAGTAAATGGCATAAGACCAGAACGTAGTTATTCTTGCACCAGATGCTGCACAATAAGCATGGATAAAATGTGCTAGACCCTCAGCTGGAAGAAATTAATGGAGCTGTTGATGTATACTAAGTGAGAATCTGACCTTTTAGATAGTGGCATTACATAGTTACAGATGGAGCTTAAGTAAACTAGGTAAGTAGACAGATTAGCTGCAAGTTAGGTAAAACAAAACACATAACATTTCAGATTCATATAAAAGAGTTTCATGGTGGCATGCAGAAATGTGTGTAAAGTGAAGGAGTAATAGAACATTGTTCTTTTTCCTATGAGTTTTTAAAGTGACAACCATGGTAGATATCAGCAAATAAAAACCTCTTTCAAGTATGTCCCACTTTCAGCACATTTTCAAGCTTATATACTGTCTCTTGCTATTGCTTCCTCACTTTTTCTGGCAATGAATGGGATTCCTATTCCCCACTCAGAGCTATTGAAACTCACATGTATTTGATCAGACACATGTTTAGCACATTCACTTTCTTCTTTAAGAACATAGGCCATATCCAAACAGGGAGATGAAGTCTCCTAGCTGCAGTGACATGCCTGCTAGCTCAGCCAGGAGCATGGACCTGACAGCCCTGGTGGGTACAAGGGCTCTGAACAGCTCAGTGTTTCCCCAAATGCCGAGACCACAGCAAACTCCTGTGTCCATACCGGGTAGGTAGCATACTTGGTCACCCAAACACAGCCCCCAAACCCTGCACTGGAGACAGCCACATGTTTCTTTTTAACATGTGAAGGCTGAAAACATACAAAGCACAGAGTGCACAGTGCAGGCACATGGCAAGACAGCAGGGACACAGTGCCCATAGAAAGGGCAAGAGGAATGCAAAATGCCAGTAAAAACTTAGCAGCTCCTAGAGGTTTCCACAGCCACTTACGGGAAAACAAAACACTGCTATCAACTGCTACTGAATAGAGTTAAGGTGGGCTTTTCCCCCCCTTTTCTGTAGATATTTCAGTTTCCGCTTATACACTGGAAGTGACTCTAACATAAGATGGCATTTCCTGGGATGACAGCCTGCACGAGGTTAAATGAGAATGGTTGACACTGCATCCCTACTCCCCTAGCACTGAGCTGCTCTGATTTCCCTGTCTGAGAGACCTCTGAATGACTGTGCATCACACATGATCAAACTCATTTCAAGCCAAGTTGAGAAGGTGAGGGAAAATGAAATGTCACTAATGGATTGACCCTCCTGCACGAAACCAGCTGCAGCCCAGCCTTGCAGGCCCCGGTACTAAATTAGAGCTATTGTCTAAACAACTGAATGTTGGACCAAATACCATCAGGCCCGGCTAGTCTAGTCTTGTTTTCCTGATTCATCTAGGCATTGGTATCAGTGAAAGTCTAACATGGTGAATTTACACATGAGAAATCAGGAATTTCTGACCAACACCCATACTGTTTCACTGGACTGCTTAATTTTAAATTAATGAGAAACTCATTTTCAAAGTGACTGAGACAAGTCAGAACTACAACTTGATTGTCATCAAAATAAATAAGGAATTGTTAAGATCTGTATATTTTCCCTAAATTTTTCCTATAATTGCTGTTGTCAAGTACAAGACTTCTTCATATTTGCATAAAACTTGGAGGAATATATACTTTATTGTGCAATATATATCCATCTGATAAGGACACTAAAATAACTCTCCCATTGTGCAGGTGGGTTACACATCTCTGCTAGCACCCACAACCTCAGCTTTGCATCATTGCTTCAGAGGCAGCAAAGATCCGCACTGATGAGAGCCAGTCTCCTGCACTCGGCCTTTGCCATTTCACCTTGCTCAGAAAGTTAAAACACTGGCTGTTTCAGAAAACTTAATTTTATATTTTATGTCAAAAGAAAACAGATTGTCCAGCATTTTCTAACATATACTAAAACCCACATACATTCATCTTCCGTATCTATTGATACACCACAGAATCACAGAACAGTTGAGTTTGGAAGGGACCACTGGAGTTCATCTAGTCCAACCCCCCTGCCAGGCAGGGTCACCTAGAGCACGTTACCCAGGACCCTGTCCAGATGACTTTTGAATATCTCCAAGGACAGAGACTCCACAAGTTCTCTGGGCAGAAATATTTCTCATATAGATCAGAAAAGTATCCTGCTGATGAATTTTTTATCATCCTACCATCCTGAACTGCCTTCCTGTGTTCATCTTTTTGTGCATAACTAGAGAATATTCTGCCAATCTTTCTTTTAAATACACAAAAAAAAACCCAAAACCAAAACAAAAACAAAACCAAGAACTTTCCTGCAAATATTTTCAATAAAGAAAAAATGTAAAAGTATGAATTCCATGATACTACCTCAGGCCTTCCCTGGACAGTCTCTGTGCAAGTTTTCTTTTTGCTTAAAATACATATTAATTTTATAACAACAACTCAGTGAACAACAATAACACCCATGCATAGTGCACTGAATGAGAAGTGCTGGATCGGATAGGATAGCAGGTCTACGAGCAGCACCCGCAGGTGCTCAGGGAGGACCCTTTGAGGGCTGCAGCGCTCACCCATACAACTGCCGTGCTGCCCGGTGCTCTCTGATGACCATGAGAGATAGGGCACTGCAGAGGGGGCTGCACGACCCTGCAATGCTCCCCCAGACGCCGGGCCCTCTCCTTGGTGACAGGAGCCAGCTGGCAAAGCCTGCGGGGTCAGAGCTCAGCCATTCATCATGGATTTGGTGCTGAGAGGTCAGGACCAGTCTTGTAACCTGCTTTGTATGAGACCTTTGGGGACTGCTACTGCAAAAGCCCTAATTGCATCCCTACCGTGAGTCCTTCTACCTGCGTGTCTGGAGTTTCTGCTGCTGCATGCACATGTGCAAGGCAGACTGTAACAGCAAGGGCAGAGGGTGCATGGAGAACCTGATTTCATATTACTGAATATGCTGCTCTGTGACCCAAAACAGGCAGTAAATTATACCAGTGGTAAAGCTCTCCAGCAAAAGCTCCAGTGCTCCGTACTCACTTCACCTGTACAAAACTGGTGGAAATGGAGGCAGAGCTCCTGGTCTCCAGCACTATACCTCTCTTTCCTTGACCTGTCACCACCGCTCACAAGCGCCAGACTGGATCAGCCCTCTGCTTCCTGCTGTATCCCCAGTGGTGAAAACGAGCAAATCCAACCTGCTAGAAATAGGTAGGCCTTGCAAATAACAAATGGGTATTCAAGGGAGAGGGGAGACCTTCAGATGTGCCCTTCCTAAGGAATGCACCAGCCACAGCAGCCCCTCTGCGAGCACTGTGGAAATGCAGAGCGTATAGATGAAGACAGACACCCGAGAGTAACTGGAAGTGGTTTTGCTGTTGTTGCAGCATCCTTTGGAAATGTGGGCAATTCCACAAAAAGAGTCTGTCATGGGGAGGGCTAATACATGATCTTGCTGTGCAATGCGCTTGGTGCCCTAACTCTCACTGCTGCCCATTAGCCCTGGCATACACAAACCTTGCAGCCTTTTAGTCCCCTAGCCACCGTCGCCAGCCACCATGGGTTCCTGTCTCCCCACGCTGCCCCCGAGGCCATACCCATGCACTGCACAGGCATGGGGGCTGCCCACTGCCGGCCCAGCCTCCATCCTGCCCCACAGCACAACGTGTGGGACCCCGTGCCTGGGGTCTGCCATGCAGGCAAAGCCGAGAGGTGCACCCAGTCCACCAGCCAGGGCCCTTCCTCCCTCCTGCTCACCATTCGTTTGCCCTGGGATAAATAAAGCCTTCAGAGATAGGAATAAGCCTGCTTTGATCTTGGGGTCTGAGAGTTTGTAGCTGAGCTGCAGACAAAGGTCCTGTGCTCCCAGCTCCCAGCGCACTGCAACAGCCGCAGAGCGCCCGCTGCTCATCCGACTGTTTCCCCGGGCGGCACGTGCAGATGGTCTTTGAGAACAGAAGCGATAGATGTATGCAGAAATGTTTGTCTAGTAAAGACGATGCACGACTAGCTCCATTGTATATGGGGACAAACTTGCTTCCACAACAAGCAAGAGGCAAAATTATTGTTCCCTGCAAGGCCACAAAGCCCCTTGCCACTGGGCTTCTGGAGATACTTTATTATGTCTACGCAGCTGCGCCAGGATCACATCACAGGGAATAGTGGCTTCTGTGTAAAGTGACAGAAACACTTTCACTGTCACTGTGCTTGTGCTACTTACCCACTTCATCCCTGATGTTTGCAAGCTCCACTGACAACTCCTTTTCTTTCACAAGGGCACTTTCATTCTGTTTAAAGAAAACGAGAGAGAAATATGTATGGTCCCCAGGTTTATCCCAGATAAGCACTTTCACATGTTCATTTGGTAAAGCAGATTACATTGACTGGTCAGATCTTTTTTTATTTTTGGCAGGCAGGGGGGGAAAGGGAATTATAATGAACTCATTCAATTTTTAAATCAAGCTTAGCAGCCAGCACTCACTGGCAACAAATATGTCACATCTGTATGGATGCATATACACAAGCCCACGTGCACAGGACAGCACAGATACACTATTACTTCTATATATCTAAAAATACATTTGCATTTCTGTATCATTTTGTGTTCAGCCTGTGCACCATTCAGAGGAGGACTGCATGTACAAGAGAGTATTATTAATTCTGTTAAAATAGTTTCACCTGTTTGACTGCATTTGACCACCTCTAAACACAGTAATGTGCTCATACAGTCAAGCAGGACAGTGCAGATTACTGTACTTACACCATTCTCTACATAGGAGGCCTACCCTACACATACAGATACTACTGATGGCCTGATGCTCCTGCTTGTATTTCCACATTTATTCTGGTATTTTAACTTGTTTGTAAAGGACAAGAGCTCCTTTCTTTCGCCTCTCTCAAAAGAAACATAAAGTACTTAAGGAATTAAAACAGACGAACTGAACAAAAGAAAAATAAAGTAGATTTATGTTAACAATACTACGGTGTCATTACTAAAATGGCAAGGACTTTGACAGTAGATATTTCATAAGTGCTGTGCAAATCGACAAAAAAAGACTCGGGAAAATATACAGGAGTTTACTGCAGTAAGTCCCAGTATAAATGCTACAAGCATAAAACCACTTTAAATTGGAATGTATCCTGAATCACATTAGGAAGAAGACAAAGGAAGGTATCCTGCCAGGCAGGTCACCAATGATTAGGAAAACTAGATCAGGCTACTATAAATATGCTTCCAGTTAGAAAAGACCCAGAATCTTTAAGTGGCACTATGGAAAAACCATTTTCAAGAGAAAAGGCAGACCAGTAGCAAATGGAATTAAAAGGAATCTTAGAAAGTAAATCTTTCAGTCATAAGCAAGCAAGGCTAATACAAATCTAGGGCACAGAAAGGATTACTTCTGCAGCAGGACACTTGTAGATGGGATAGCAAATTAGTTCTGACTTAACAAAATGAATGTCAAAAGGAGATTTCAGAGACTAATGTTTTTGTTTATTTTTCCTTTATTTAATTTTCAGTTCTGAGGAATGAAAAATATAGCAAACCAAATGCAGATACTAGAAAAAAAATCCTTTTTTTGAAGGATAGAATGAAACAATAAAATGAACAGAAGATCTCCCATTGTATTCCCAATTCCTTTGCTGACCTGCAGAACGCATCTCCTTCCTGCCGGCTTTCTGGTGGCGCACACTTTGCCCCCGACACTTACTACCCTTCCTGGTGAGAAAACACCATCGTCTTGAGGCTGTACCATTTCAGACATAACGAAAAAGGGTAATATATACATCTTTGTGCGTGTGTGCTTAGTTTATTTTTAAAGTCCATGCCTGTACGAACTGCATACATACAATATCATTTCTCTTAGCAACACGCTAGGTAGGCAAGGGGTGACCCCGTGGTCCCTTGGGCCACGGTCCTCTGGACTGTGCCATTATATGCCCTATGGCCACCTTGAACTATGCAATGCTACCAAATATATACATACATATGTAGCTTTAAAAGGTGTGTAAAGGGAAGGACAGTATTTACTTGTTTCAACAGGGCCAGACAAGTTGAGGGCATGCAGCAACGCCACTTTTCCTAAAGACTTCTAAATTCTCTCTCTAAGGTAATCAATAGGTACTTCTCAGGTGACAGAAACGCACCTTTATTTCAATGGTACGATTTCTCCTCTCACCCCCATTGTCTCTGCCTATAGACGCCTCCCTTTGAACAATAAATGCATAGTCTTTACTATGCCCCCTAACCATCATAGCAACTTTTAGTTTTATTAAAGCGAACTTAATAACCACTTTGATCAGATATTACAAAACTGCTTTATTTTTAGTAATACAAGGAAATTAAAAACATCTGGAATCTGAAGTAAAAATCTATGCCCTGTCCTTTTGGGATGATTCCCACCAGTTCAAAGGAATATGCTTTGTGGCAAATTTTGCTGTAAACTGAGAGACTAGCTGGGGTCCTCAGGCCTGACCAGAACTGCATTAAGCACAGAACAACGTGAAATTCTGTTGTTTTTGTTTTGCTTTGTTTTCTAGTAAAAAAAACATGAAAAAAAATGTTGCATGTAGAAGAGGTTGATATGTTACAAAACAGAGTCCTTCACAGGGATTCCCAAAACAGTAGTCCTACTGGAGATAAGGTTTCCCCTTTTGGAGCGTATTACTGCATCTGCCCATGTGGTCTGATTAACTCTCTAGAGCTGTTTTAGGAAGTGCTCAGGAGACACTGCCAGGATTGGTGCCCTTGAAGGCATCTGCACAGGGATATACTGGATATGGTGCTCACAGATGGGAAGCACCCACTCATTTTACCAGCTCCAACTATTTAAAACAAAACCTATTTAAAGTAAGGAAGCTCAGTATAAATCATTGCCAACACCCACAGACATGCAGAACTCAATGGGATTGTTTTCATTCTACTTACTTACACGAAGAAAATGAAAAGCAAGTAAAAAATGACATCCTAAGAAAAAAAATTGTTAAAAATTTTGAGCCCCAGCTAATTACGTACTGTCTCATAAAAATTATTACGAATTGCTTTTTGATATTTATGTTATCTTGGATGATGCATGCTCTGTCTTGCGGACAGCCTCCAGGGCTACCTCAAACAGCTGGAGCTGGCACAGCTCACGTGCCTTTGCTGTCACGTGCCTTCCCTGCAAATATTTCTTCCACTGTATTTTATTTTGGTCAGAGCTCTCCAAGCGCTCTTCTGGGACTCGTATTCAGGTCTCCTGGGAGGTCAGATCTGTGAGGACAGCACTTGGTGCCAAGTTTTGAAGTAGTCCTTCTTCTGCAAGGGGTTGTTTCGCAGAACAAGACGACACAAATCCAGTGTCCTAAGTTCTCCCGGCACCCTTGATCCAGAGCTCTTGATTTCAGAACCTTTTCCTGAGGGCTGTAGAGATTTGTCCTTGGTTTCCTCTCACGAGAGAGCGGCAAGGTGTAGTTTCAGCTAATCCTCGTATCAGCCTCACGGTCTCCTAGATGTGCAGTGAACTTTCAAATCCCTGACATGTCCTGTTACCACAACCTGCTCTGTCAGTGTAACATTACAGGTTTGGACTGCACATATTCCTGGGACCAGTGTAAACTTGACACTAATATGAAATGAAAAAGCCTCTCCTTGTTACCATCAGTGTGATCCTACACATAACCAGCACTTCAGTACCAGCACAGCCAGGGAACTGGGAATGCTAGTGCTTAGTAAATCCAACATTACAGTAGAGCAAAACTGGTTCTGACGAGAAAATGTAAAGCTATCAAATCTGATGCTGAGACTTGTATAAGTCCAATGTCAAAACATCAAAAGAATTAGAAAATTCGCAAGCACACAAGGACAAGTCTGACAAAACAAACGGGTAAGAAACAAAATTAACATGATATCCCACTGAATTAATCAATCTTCATTAATACTTATATCAATAAAATATTTGAAACAGAAGACAGGAGGCAGGAATCTTTGCTGCCCTCCCAAGAGTTTTGTGTCTAATAGGCTCAACATATCGAAGGAGCCTTGTAGCCTCCCTTTGCTGGGCCACTGGTTGGAATTGAACCACTGAGAGTAACTGAGGGCCAAATTCAACTTAAGTTTAAAAAGGCGCAGCTGCCATAGTAGTGACACAGCTGTTTCCAGAGGGTGAAGGCGTCATAGACACTATATGAAGATTGCACAAATATCTGATTTTTCAGTGGGTCAGTTAAATGGAAAGAGAGAAAAAACTGCTTTGATCTAATTTGGAATTATTTTTTCTTGCCAAAATCTGAAAGAAAGACAGTGTGCTTTGTATAAAGTAGAATGCAGCATTTCCTTTTCAGGTATTTTTAATGAATGATCGATTTAATTATTCCTTGGAAGACCTACGAGAAAGATTTTCCATTGGCTGCATCCCAAGAAATGACTCTGATAATGAAGTATTTTTTATAAAATAAAATGGTACTCATGACAGAGATGAAGGAAACCTTCTTTCTCATACCTGTACTATACAACACAATGGTTAAGTCTTGTATCTGAAATATGGTTTCCTATGTCCTCAGCTGGAGAAAAAAAAAGGATAAGTAGAATGACATGTTTGTTGTGTGCTTAAACTACTTCTCTGTTGAATAAAAGAGGCTGTAACAACTCCTTCTCTTATGGTTGGCTTTGTAAAATATAGACCTCCTAATATTTCTCCCATAAAAGACTCAGCAGCAGACTGCATTTCAGTAAGTAAAATAGTCACTGAAAAATGGCACTTATGCATTCCCTATTCAAATCAAACTCCCTGAGGACAGCCTGGGATATGACTTGTATTGGTGCAACATCCAAATAGCTCCAGGAAAACTGGCAGGTATTCAGGCAGTAGGCAGAGAGGTAGAAAGGAAGGAGGAATTCATCCAGTGAAGTAACAGTGGGTATAATTTAGTGATACTGTTCAGAAAAAATTTGTAGGATTAGATATAACTGAGTATGAGGACCTGGAAAAATACCTTGCTAAAATATGGCATGCAATACAAGCCTGAGGATGGACAAGATGCTGGTGTTGTCTAAACGGATTAAAAAGGGAAGCAGTAAGGAAGGCTTGAGGGAAGAGGAAAAGCTCTGTTTTAGTTGCATTGAGCTTCAGCTGACAGCTAGACTTCCTTGAGAAGACGTTATCAGGGAGACAGGTCAAGATTTTACTTTGGACCAGGAATAGTTGTAGGGTGGGGAAGCAGACCTGAAGTTTGCCTTAAAGTCCCTCTCCTTGGAGAACTGCAAACCACCTGAGAGATATTAACTCATCAGAAATCCTAATTAATTAAACCTCAGAGTACTTTTCAACAATAGGCAAACAATAGTAGGTTGACTTCACAAATGGGTCAGATTAGGCCAAGAGGGTCAGAAAATTGCCCAGATCTGTATAGGAAGCCAGCGGAGCTAGGAACTAAATGTGGGAGCCTGGTGTTGCCTTCCCAGGCCGACACCTCTTTCCTCTCTGCCAACCAGCATACTTCAATATGATATATTCTGAGTTCCCGGCATATGTACAGTATCTCCATGAGCTTTGCCCAGTTCTCTACGATACGTCTTAAAAATATGCACTGCGCACAGATGCTCTGTGGCACTTGTTATTAAAACCATTCTTTCAAAATAGCTTTTCTATATCCAGCACTTCGAAAAGGTTTTAAAAAAGAAATTGACCTGCAAATGGTGCTTAGTCACTGTGGTGCTTTATTCAGAGTTCCCTGGGGTAAGGCCTTGTATTAGCTTTGGAAGGAAAAGCATATACCTTGGGAGCTCTCTTGCACCAATGAATATTTCAGATGATACTAGTAGCAGCAATAGCTGAATCCCATTGCAGCGGATGTTCAGAATGATCTACAGTCCTCCTTCCAAAAAGGGACATTTTAACACTGCTGTTTCAATCATGCTGGATAGCAGGTACTCCTCCCCCATAACTCTCTTTAGGTTAGAGTTTACAAGCAGAACTGATCACCTAGTTATCTCCCAGGCACTGTATTTTAACAAGTTTTGCATTAAACCATACATTTTCCTTAACCTGGTTAGCCGCATACCTCAAGCTATATTTGAACATATTATTCGGTAAGTGGGAGACACTGTCAGCTTTTCATTACACCTAGCATATGAGTATTTTAAAAAGCCAAACTCTTAAAAAAATATACTGCATGAGCATGCGTTTCTGCCAAGACACTTTCTATTAAGAAAATTAAATGCATATGTTCATTCTCTCCCTCTTCTGTATGTACTTAAAACCCAGGCAAACGTCCAAAACAATAGCAAGAAAAGCTATGTGTTAAAATTGTCATACAAATTCTCTCCCACATGCTGCTCTCCAGCTACCTGTAGCTGCAGTCCTTACCTCTGCACTGGTGTTTGTTACACGACCCATTCTGGTGTCTGAGAATTTGCTTGTTTTAGATTCAGCCTGACATAAGAAAACGTGTTTTCACCTTGTTTCACTTCTAGATCAGACTTGTAACACATTAGAAAGGAGGAATAACAGAGAGGTAAAACCTTAGGACAGTCAGAGGCTGAAAAATCTCTCTCCAAACTTTAAAACTCCATGCAGGGACCCTTTGTAACTTGTACTCCTCAGGTCTATTAAAAACGTATGAAATGCATAACAAGAAATCAAGCCGGCCGTTACTACAGAACATGTCAGTGGTCCCTTATTGTTTCACGAAAATCCAACTCTTACATTTGGACTGCAGGATAAAATTATGTAAGGCACTGCAGTGTGTGTGAAAGGAACGGTCAGACTTGCTCCTAGGGAAGGAGAATTCAGCACACCATCCATAACACGAGCATCACTCCCCTCTCCACCACCCCCGGCTGCACGCACATTACCTACATTAGCTAGAGGAAGGAGCCCAGACTTAATCAGTGTAACGGCTATCTCTCTGCCCTTTCGCCGAAGGATAAAAAGAGGCAAAGTACCGTCTTGTCCAGGCACTGAAGGCGGTAATAAAGCTTGCAGCAGCACTGGCCCATCCTGGCAGGCTTGCTGAAAAGGCAACCAGCTTCATTCAGGATGGCAGGGTGGGAGTCCTAGGCAGCGGGAATGGCACCCGGGGAAGGTGCGCGCGCGCTGCAAGCTGTCACGGTTCGTTTGCGATACCCTCCGCTACCTTATTTCTCTCAGTAACTTGAGGAATCCAGGAGCAGGAGGTGGAGGAGGAGGAGGAGGAGGAGCGAGGCAGCAGCATGTCAGGCTCCTGCCGGAGAAGGGAGGGTCACTCGCCGCCGGGAGCGTCAGACTCAGGCGGATCAATAGATGCAGAATAACAGAGCAGTTACCGCTTTCGCCGCCCTCTGAAGACAGCCGGGCTCCCCTGGCTGCAAACTAACGCCGTCCGGCTCGCTCCAGCCTCCTCCGAAGTGGGATCTGCTTTCTCTGACGGGCAAACGTTCGCCCAGAGCGGAGCACGCCCAGCAACGCGCTCGCGCGAACGCACGCGAGCAAAAGCACAAAAGGGGAAGGTTTGGAAACTTAAAACAGAAAAAGCCCAAAGCACGCCGGAGCGCTACCGCGAGCCTCGGTCCTCCCTGAGACGCACGCGGGTGGCGATCATCCTGACCTTCACGCTATGTTAAGAGCGCCAGCGCTCT